GTGCACCGCGGGATACTGTACCCGTGATTAGTGGTAGGTGTAGTACACAGGGGCACTGTACCCGTGATTACTGGTAGGTGTGGTAAACAGGGGCACTGTACCCGTGATTACTGGTAGGTGTAGTACACAGGTACTGGTACTGTACCCGTGATTACTGGTAGGTGTAGTACACAGGGTACTGTACCCGTGATTACTGGTAGGTGTAGTACTCAGTGGTACTGTATCCGTGATTACTGGTAGGTGTGGCAGGCAGGATACTGTACCCGTGATTACTGGTAGGTGTAGTACACAGGGGCACTGTACCCGTGATTACTGGTAGGTGTGGTACACAGGGTTACTGTACCCGTGATTACTGGTAGGTGTAGTACACAGGGGTACTGTACCCGTGATTACTGGTAGGTGTGGTAGGCAGGATACTGTACCCGTGATTACTGGTAGGTGTAGTACACAGGGGCACTGTACCCGTGATTACTGGTAGGTGTGGTACACAGGGGTTACTGTACCCGTGATTACCACAGTGATTACTGGTAGGTGTTGGTAGGCAGGATAATGTACCCGTGATTGGTACTGGATAGGTAACAGCACAGTACCCGTGTAGGTGATGTGGAAGACAGGATTAAGCCCGTGATTACTGGTAGGTGTAGTACACAGCGAAATGGTACCCGTGATTACTGGTAGGTGTGGTAGACAATGATGTACCCGTGGCTGGTAGGTGAAGTACACAGGGGGTACTTGTGATTACTATAAGACTTCTAGTGCCACAAAGGGATGACGGAGAATTCACATTTGAACTGGTTTGACAAATATGAGTATCACAATGACAGTAATGCCGGTCACCAGGGAGTGTGATCAAATGTCAATATTGTGATGGACATAACACCTCTATCAACTCCGCCAGTGTTTAATATACTAGCCACATAAAGAAACTGTGCACACAGAAAATTCCTTCAGAATTGGAATACAACACAGAAAAGACGACATGATGTAGACACTTTATAAGCTGAAGTATCGGGCCTCAACAACATGTCAAAAGAACATGAACAATATCTGTAACGATGTCGTCAGAAGTTCAAAATTGAGTAGGGGTCACATGTCGAAGTCACTAAGTCAATAACGGGTATGACCATCATGCGCGTGAAGCACAGCAGTGCATCGACGACGCATAGAGGCTAACAAATTTTCCAAATGAAGGCCTGGGAATGGTTTGGGACGTGGTCACTGCCGTCTGGAACCTGTGTCTGATATGAGTCACCCGAATCCATCTGTCCTGTCTTGGCGTCGTTACTCGGGGACGCCCAGAACGTGGGTGGTCGGCGACGTCATTACTGTTTCCCTAACGCCTGACCAATGCAGATATCGTGTTACGATGGCATTGGAAATGTGCTGCCACCTGATGTTGGCTCATGCCTGCTCGAACCATTCCAATGGCTTCATGACGTTGAGCACATGTTAATCTTGGCATGATGTGCATGTGACTTTTCATGTGAATTTGTGAACGTTTGAATGACCAAAGATCAAGCTTTCGACAGTGACAGCAATTTCTGAGTTTCACATGTTGTGTGCAGCTGCACAGGCTGCACCTACAGTAACACATTGCAAGTCCATAGACCACCATCAATGACGTCACGTCGCCTGGCACCTGCATGAGCGTTTGATTGTCTCCAATACTTGCTATGTTCACACCTTTATTTATGCATAAAGACGCTGTTTGCCTATCTTTATATTTTCTGTGTGCAGTTTCTTTATGTGGCCAGTAGATTGCTTGTATACCACATTTGTAATGTAATAACAGAAAAGCCAAATCATCTATATTGTGTTGTTACATTCAGGTAAATAATCAAACTGAACATCTGAACAATGCATTCAAATTACATTACCTTAAAACAATTGTTAACTTCTTCATATGCATCAGAGGACAGGGAACTGAGTTTATGGTCAGACATGTAACAACATCATATGCTGAGCTAATATGGGAGTCGGACGGCTTATTCATGTGGGGTCGCTGTAACAAGGACATTGCGGCTCGTGCTGATCTATGAAAATGAAGTGTCAATGTGGAGCTTTCGTTACTCAACAGTAACAGATTCTGTGTGAACTCCACTGCTGTAGAATTAGTCATGGGTCGATAAACTCACTCTGATGACCTTAGATGAAGGCGTGATACGCCGTGTAACATGATAATACGTGTTTCAATAAACGTAGCCTCAATTACAGCAAGTGGAATGAATTTTCTATGCGTGATTATGCATGAATAAACGTATTCTATTAGATTGCAATTTTTTTATTGAGAGGATAACATGCTTCCTGCTCTAAATATATCACGGAATTCCGAAAGTGCGGAATAGGAAGTCGCATTTATAAATTAAACGAGACTTACCTGTAAGGTAAAGTTTGGCATAAATTCAACTGACCTTTGGTGTGCCGAGGGATTAAGTTCCCTCCGCTCCTGCCTATGACTTCAAGGAATCATATTATTGTTTTAAAGACTGATGACACAGTGTATGCGCATATCTCACTTAATCCCCAGTAAATTTTAAACTAAAACAGCCTGTGTTTTGAAAACAGACTACCCGTGCTTTCGGTCGGGTGATTTCGCTACTGAACTATTAAGTAACACATGTGATATAGGAAGCTTACTTGTTACACAAAAATTAATGTTGATCCTGACGACACGTTTACACAAACCCAATGATCGTATTGCAGTATTTCCAGTCAAAGATATTCAGAAATTTCTCAATGGGTTAAAAAACGTTGCAGTCTCGCATATCTTGGTCCGGTAATGAATCTTACTTTTTTAACCTAAAACAGCCTGTGTTTTGAAACAGACTACCCGTGCTTCAAGGGGTGGGATTACTGCATCACTCAGCGAGGTATATTGAGATGTGTGGCGGTGTGATGTAGTGGCGAGGGGGCACTGGAGCTGCAAACAGCCCACCTCGACTCACAGGCCCTCATGATGTATTGTACTGGGAAGCATTTAGAGTCGGGGGTCATTTTAAATTTTATATATTTTTATAAATATTTAATCCTCGCAAAGACACTAGGGCCTGTGCCTTGACTTGGTGTCCAGGCCGTGGATAGTGTAAAGGCAACATAACTTGTGGTGTCATAAAAACATATCTCTGTTATCCTGTGCTCTTTAATTAAGACGGTAGGGCGGTGGGGTAGCCTAACGGTTAAAGCATTGGGTAATCACGCCAAAGACCCGGGTTCGATCCCCACATGGGTACATGTGTGAAGCCCATTCCTGGTGTCCCTAACCGTGATATCGCTGGAATATTGCTAAAAGTGGCCTTAAACCATACTCACTCACTCATTCACTCACTTTACGAAAGTTTTGCCTTATGTAACATTATACATGTCTGTCTCTCCTGCTTATAATACAGGGAGGTAGAGTAGCCTAATGGGTAACGCTCGGAACGCTGAACACCTGGGTTCGAAGCCTATTTCTGGTGTCCCCGCCGTGATATTGCTGGAGTATTGCTGCAGGCGGCGTAAACCAATACTCACTCTTCAGATAATACGACAGGTCTACATAAATGTCTACTGTTCCTCCAGGAAGACATGTAAATACATCATCAACAGTGTATTGTGATCTGTCGTACACCGGCCCTGTTGTAATATTACAGGTAACAGAAGCCACTCTACAGGTGTCCTGTTTCACTGAACACATGCAATGACTACTTCCCGTCGCAGGTTCAGATCCGTAAGTTCCTACACCGTTTAACCTGACCCAAAACATCTGAAACTTGAAAAGTGTAAGATCCATGAATCAAGAGATCCATGAATCTTGTGCGCCCTTTAGAAATCTTATGAAGGTGATGTTTTAAATCCTTGTCACTCGGACCGAATAACATGCCTTGGTTTAATCAACCTTGGTTGTATGGTAGCCGATTCGTCCCGTTCCATCACGACGCATCCAGGCGTGTGACGGTTTACAGGGCCAGCGAACGGTGCGTTCTCTGGCATTCCCTCTCTGCAGCTGATGTTGGCCTTCTTGCTGACGCAAGGACTCATGTTTGCCCCCAGCAAACATACAAACACAAAATCTTCTTCATCTTGGGGGTTCAATGGCTGCTGTTGCTTGGGTCGCCGTATTTTTATACCGTGGGCACAACCGTGTTCCAAAGCTGGCCGGCGTCCACGTTTCATCCGTAGAAACGCGACAGGTCGGGAGGAAACGTCATGACATCCTTAGTGTGCTTTTGAGCTCCGGGACTCAGAAGCCCGTTTATACTAACGGCCTATCACGGATACAGTGACAGACCGTGAGAACACTTAACAGGACTGAAGTAAACTTGACTTTGGAGGAAAAGATGGCCAAAATCCCACGGCGCACTACGCTCCGGGGAAACGGGGCTATCGTGGCCGCCGGGAACTAAGTGTAACCCAAGCATAAATGAAGTGACATCCATGTCATGTAACATGGTCGTGCAAAAAGAAATTGAAAAAAGCAGCAAAGACGGATTATGAAAACATATCAATTCCAATGAAACTTATGTCTTTTGATGAAACATTGATAAAACATAATCATAATGGAATAATAGTACACTTGAAGATATGATGCAATACATTTACTTACAGGAGTAAGTGTCATTTACAAGATCAATTTGCTCCTGGAGTAAAATACACCAGGAGTAAATATACTTTTACTTTACCTCCGAAGCAGGAGTAAATGTACTCCAGGAGTATAAATACTTACGTGAGTAAATTAGTTTTGTGAAGTTTACACGGTCAATTTACTTACCATAAGTAGATTTAGTTACATAAGCAAATATACTCCTGTAAGTAAATGTGTGCATGTAAAAGCGGCTTTTAAGATGACATCACCAAACTACCAGTTTGAGTTTGAGAGTTTACTTGCAATAAAACCTAGCAAACACACAATTACTTTTCCAGCCTGCAGTCTGCAGAATAGACATACGAGCAAACAAGGATAAGTTGAGCACCGACCTGACAATTGGCCCGTATTAGCATGTATGAGACCCGCCCACTGGCCCTTGCCATTGTTAGCGAAGGGGCCCCAGGTTGTCCGCGATCAAGTGTAGTACTACACCGACCATGTGAGAGTCTCATGAGCAAGGCGTGTGCAGCTACGCGCGGAATCAATTTCATCGTCATGTAATGCACATGCACTAGCCTACATCCGCTCTACCTTCCACAAACCAAATGGGCTTGCTACTGCCTACTTCTCGTAAACGCGTTCTCTGCGCCGGACCAACTTATCCTTGTTTGCCTCGCACTGCTTGTAGAAGTTGATCTTATGCTGTGTGGTGCACACACAGTTATATCAATACCAGCAGTAATCATGAAAGTCTTCACCCTTCAGGATATAGTGTCTTTTGGTGCTCTTCTGTGTGGTTTAGTCGTGGTAGTGAACAAAGCTGTCTGTGCTCCACGAAAGTTCCTTTGTCCTTCTCAAATACTGATTCATAGTGTTTGCAATACACAGTTCTTGGTCTGGGTAGCTATTAAGGGTGAGCTCAGCTTGGTGATGCCCATGTCTTCTTTGTTTTAACAAGTCACCAAATCTAAAGTTCACATCAATGTCTGACACATGCACATTCCTACAATCAATAAGATGAAGGGATTGTATTCTCTGTCCTGAAAGAAGCAACAGTATTGTTACTAATTTCAATGTCAGCAATTTCAAGGATTAACTGACAGTAAATGTGTTTGAGGTGTTTGAAAAACCTTCCTTTCTTAGAGCTGAGAACACTGGTTTAAGCACTTTTGTGAAAATTCGAGGGGCTGATGAGAGTCCATTGGGGAGACAAGTGAACTGGTATAACGCACCATTTCAATAGAAACGTAGATATTTCCTAGCAAACTGGCACAGAGAATAAACATCCTTAAGATCAATAGAGGCAAAATAGAGTCTTTTTCAACAAGATACAAAACAGTCTTAAAAGTATATATTTTGAAGTGTAGTGACACAATAGCCTCATGTAATGGTCTTAAATTTAAAATAATTCGCATGGAATTGTCCTTTTTCGTTCTCAAACAAAATGTTACAGTAGGCCTACTCATTTACGTCATGCTCACACATTTCAGTTACTTCCTTTTCAACTTCCTGTCTACCTGTCCCCACGCATCCCATTTAAATAACATCCATTTCTGAAAAGACATCAGGACCAACTTTTATTGCTTCAGAATCCATGGACTCTGTTAAGTTGTGAGGTAAAATCAAAGAGGAAGCCATCAGCAACAGGCACATATGACGTCATGTCACGTGATACCCCACTGCTCATTAACTGTCGCGTGTTTCCGTAATAGGCGGCAAAACGAGTACGTTTTTTGTGTTTTTATTGCGATTTTACAAACTGTTTGTTCAATTTTAAGCCCGAGGGGTGACTTTTAGAATGCCTTTACACATATGAAAACTTTTGTTTTCGTTAGTGTTCTCCTTTAACAACTCAGGCATACTGTTGACACAGCGCATGCGCACATCTCAAGGAATTCCGAAAATACGGAATAGGGAAATGGAATTAAGATTCTTTACCGGACCAAGTTATGCGAGACTGCAACGTTTATAACCCGTTGGGATATTTCTAAATATCTTTGCCTGGAAATGCTGCAAAACGATCATTGGGTTTGATCATCAGGATCACATTATTTTTTTTGTGTAACAAGAAAGTTTCTCAGATCTCATATAATGCTGTGTCGTTTATAGGGTAGGGGGTATTGTCTGCCGCCTTCTAGAGAAAATAGCTGGAAAAAAGCCGGCAAATTTTGCGCGGTTTTCTTTACAATAGTCCCCCGATGTCTTTCTGTTACTGGTATTACTATCAATAACTGAACTTCAGTTTGTTATCAATAAATAACACTTGTAAACACGTGTTTGTGTTCCATTCAGAAATCCGTGGTACATGGACAGGCAGTCACGCTAACATGCGAACGTCTCTGGCCTCATGCAGAAGAAGAAGCAGGTCTAGATTTACCTCAGCGCCTGAATCCTCTACCTCATTGGGGACTCCCTTTTAGATTACATCTACATGTAGTTCTTTCATTCAATCAAAAACGTACTCCAGGTGTAGGTAGATCCCCCTGGATGAGAGACACATTTTACAACCATGAGGTGACATACCTTAATTACATGAATACAAATATTCTGCTAGGTAATTCATATTTGGGAGTCGTAATGTATTTTGTCGGAAATACATAATGTAATGAGATAGTCACAGTGTCGTAATACCCTTCAAGTGTGCATAAATGATACAACACAGAATACATAAACATTCAGCATCTTCAATTGTTAAATTGTAACAGGGTGGCTGCAACTGCTTTTGGATCTGCGTGTAAACTCAGCTCAATCCTAGGTACTATCGGGTTACCCAACAACAATTCTGAAAAGTAGTATGTTTTCAAGGCACTACGAGTTATCTCCCTTTATAGAAATTTGGGAGCAGTTTCCAATGGGAAGAAGGATGTTTTCTAATTAATACTCAAGCTACAGTTACAGTGTCACAAATACAATTGTCTCATATTGTAGAAAAAGAATAGTGTAGCCCTTTTTCTTGAATAAAGCGTGATTATATTGTAAAGTCAAACCACATCTTCTGTTATTCAGCTGTGACCTGACCAAGGCCGTTAGAGCTGGGGAGGCATTAGTGACAAGAGAATATTTTTTCCGAAAGAAGAACACGGTGAAAAATGTTTACGAATCTGCTCATGGATGTTGGTTTCTCATTCACGCTCTAGCGTATTCATTCAGTCGATGCGATAGGTTGGTGCACAGTCGGGGGAGTACGCTTGAATGGACACTACGTCAGACTGTTTGAATGGACAGGCTTCACACATCTCGTGTACACACCAGAAGCGGATCCAGCTTGATCTCAAGGTCTGAATTCCCGACCTCATTGGGGAGCTTCTTTTCAGATGAAGTTCATTCTTTCTTTCGATCAAAAAATATTGTAAGAGGCTTATCATTAATATAGGTTTGAGGTGACAGACGTACCGTCTCATATGCTCATTAAATTGACTGGCCTCAACAAAAACGAAACAAGCATTATATTACTTGTACATCGTAGTGATATTTAGCAGGTGTTCTTACATAGGAACTACTACATTCAATCTCTCAAAGATGTAATTTGTATGCAATATGCATCAAAATGTGATGTCTGTTCATCTACTACAGATTTGTGCAATGTTTGCAAGTTACCAGTTTCTTGGCATGGATGTCAGTGTATTACCAGGAGGGTTAGACTTGGTTTGGTTTGGTTGTTGTTTAACGCCGTACTCGACAATTATCCAGCTAGATGACGGTGGTCCGTTAATAATCGAATCTGGACCAGACAATCAGGTGATCGACAGCATGAGCATCGTTCTATGCATTCGGGATACGATGACGTGTGTCAACCAAATCAGCAAGCCTGACCACCCGATCCCGTTACTTGCCTCTTATGACAATAACGGGCTGCTGAAGATCAATTCTAACTCAGATCTGCTCTGTAAAACGTGTATAAGCACTGGTGCAAACATCACTGTTTGACACCCTGAATGACAGAAGGACACATATGTCCCTTTTCTTCTCTTCCCTTTACCTTGATATCACCCACTGTCATTTAGGGGCACTCAGGTAGCCGAGTAGTTAAAGCGTTCGATCGTCACTTGGAGGAAGGACCCGGGCTCGATTTCCCACCTGGTTGCAATGTGTGACGACAATTTCTGGTGTCCTGGAATATTGCTAAAAGTCATACTTACTCACTGTCATTTGCGAATAGTGTGATATTGACTATAGTCCTTTTATAGAATAGTTCAATTTTTTTTAAATGTACAATAATGCACATAGATTTTAAGGTATTGTCTCTGGTATACAATTGTGTTATATGTTGTTTTATCGCCACGTGCGCTTTTGTCTCAAACGTTTTACGATTTACTCGTTTCCATTTGTATCATAGAAACAATTTATTCAAACTTATGACAATAGTGTAATGGAGAATATTAAACGGTTCCTTATATTTCTGGGGAAAAAAAATAGATACATGTATTAGCCATCCTATGTACACCTATGATACTTCTTACCACTATCGCGAAAGTTGCATGCAAAAACGACATAAAAAGACAAACTGACCGACCGACCAACCGACCAACCGACCAACCAACCGACCCGTGAACCAGCCAAAAGAAAAGGAACTTCTTTGCATCTTATCTTGTATGATGTTTAGCAGAAATAGCCACATAATACTGAGCAATGTCAAATCCAATATTAAAATGTTGTCGTTTCTTTAGGTACAATATTATTAACTCTGAAAATAGCATCAAATTCTGTGTAACAAATCGAGATGTTTTTAAATACTATGAACGAAAATTAGATAGGTAAAATATGTATTCATACTTCATGGACAACTTGTTTATTACATTGTGTGCCACTCTTGCTTGACAACGGTATAAGAATCAATACCAAAACGGCATAATAATCATGATAATATAATGCAGAAGTTGCTATCCATGAAGTATTCTACCTTTCTTATTACTCAGCGTCGATTTCTTGTACCCATCTCACGTATTTCATAAGAAAGTCCTGGTACAGACTTTCGTTATTCGACTCTGCTGTCTGATTTTTAGAGGTTCTCGCCGTTGCGAATAGAATTGCTGATAAATATTTTAACAAGGCACCACAAAGGCCTGAAGAGTAGCCCCTTGCACCATTAATGTCAACATACAAGCAGCTGTATTAGCAGAAAAGTATTGGACGACGCGATTTAGACTTCCGGACTTGATTGTTGACGTTGTTGGCGTCTTGTGACGTCAAGTGGGAATGACGTCACACCTTAGAAACAACGTATATCATTCTCCTACGACAGCGGTATTGTTTGATTTTTATTTAACGCCGCACTCAGCAATATCCCAGCTATATGGCGGTGGTCTGTACCTAATCGAGCCTCGACCAGACAATCCAGTGATCTACGGCAGCGGTAACAGCAAAGTCATAAGTGCGCCGGAGTCTGACCCGCATTTGTGTCGTACGGATTTTATGAACCTTTTGTAAGAGGTCGTGGACTGGTCCCGCTCTTCTGGAGAAAAGACCCGTGAAGATCCGGGCTAGAATTGATCTTCAGTAGCACATGCTTGTCGTAAGAGGTGACTAACGGGATCGGGTAGTCAGTCTCGCTGACAGGGTACAAGTCACCGTATCCCAATTACCTAGATCGATGCTCATGCTGTTGATCACTGGATTGCTTAGTTCAGACTTGATCAATTACAGACCGCCGCCATAATGCTGGAATATTGCTGAGTGCGGAGTACAATTGAACTAATTCACTCACTCCGTCGAAAAATAGATATACTCACCATAAATAGGTAACAAGTTTGCTTGCTTTAATGCCACACTACAGAATGGTACAATTGTAAATATATATGGAAAATAAACTATTTAAATACGTCTTGGTTGTTTTTTTTCTGTTCCCTTTTTCTTTTGGTTTGTTTGTGATTAATTTTAACACCTTAAACCTAAATACAGTTGTCAGTGAAAGGGGTTATCTCTTCACGAGTCCATGATTTATTTACAAGCAGGATTGGGTCAAATAGACAAATCTAACACTCTCCTACCCAGAGTTCCATGCGGCTGGCATAGTACCACTGCCACTAGTCTACAGTCTAGGAGTCTACACATCTAAACATTTTGATACAATGGTTTAGTTCCACTGAGTGAATGAGTATGTTTTTAGCAACATTCCAGCAATATCACGGCGGGAAACTCCAGAAATGGGCTTCACACATTGTACCCATGTGGGGATTCGAACCCGCGTCTTCGGCGTGACAACCCACCGCTTCAACTACTAGGCTACCCCACCGCCCCTTAGGTTCCCTTAGAAAATATCCTAAAATGTGTATTACGATTTGCGTACCGATCCTTTGTTCACATAGGTTGTACAACTCCGCGTGCTGTCATCGAAGCGCTTCGGAGAACAAACGATGCAGCCACTTTGATGTATAAAGATGTATTGTCATAAACCTTACAGTTGTAGAAGAATATCGATGTAACAATATAACACATTATGCAGAGCTCACCGAATAGCTTCCATGGGCCTTTTATTTACGATTATGTTTGTTTACAAACAAGAGAAACGTCCGGTCACGTGATATGCTAAAATTATCTTGTATCAGTAATGCTGTGTCATCACTGCGTCTGAATGCGCAAATCTAATAGACCAATCAAGTTTGTCAATCATTCCTGGCGCATGCGCCAACTTGAGCCAATCAGAAAGATGAGCGCTCTAGTAATTTGTCAGACTTACTTCCGGGACCAGTAGATGCCTTCGAGTTATGCCATTCTCACTGGCGATATCTTTCACCTATTGCAAGGATTTGATGTGTGCATTTAACTAAACCCATGCGGTCGGAACAAAAGATTTGATCGGATCAAGGAGTACAGTGTGCGTCTCGTTCTGTCGCCTTATATTTTCAGGGCGATATAGCGATGACCCTAATCAGTCACCATACTGCAGCATGTGGGAGTTTTATTTTGCTGGTATCAATGCTTTAGGGGAGAACAAGTTTGATTTGATGTGGGATTATTACATTTCAATGACTGAAGATGTAAGTGGCGGGACAGAGTCATGGATTTCACACACACACCTGGTTTGGCCACAGTGACTGTAAGTACAATCATGTTTGAAATATTTCCTATTCCAAAGTTTATAGAAGATTCTATAGTTTCTTTGGCCGCTTGCTGAGAAAGTTGTCAGATGCTGTTTGTTTTCCGTCCTATATTATTATTAAACACTCGTTTGTTAACTACTTATGAGTTTGAGGTGGACCTTGTATCTGACGCCTAAGACTCCCTCGTGTCACGAAGAGGTCGAAATTTATCTTCACACATAAGGGGGACGCTGTCAAAACCTCTCGACGAAAACTCAAAGGCAGGCCATTTTCATGTGCTGAGCAGCTGCCAGAACTTGGTCTAAATGCCCCTGTTGAGGGAAACAAGTTGTTTAGAACCTCTGAGTGTTTATATCGGTTGATAAACTATGCGTAGAAAACGTCCTCCAAATGTTGCCTGGACCACCCCCTTACAACACCTAACAACAGAGCTCCGATAACCACAGCGGGAACGAGGCTCAAGCATGATATCGTCATTGGACATGTATCAAATACGACGCCATATGAAACCCGTGTACGGATGTAAACTGGATTATTCATCTGAAAGACTCGAAGGGTGAACATACTGGGACAGTTTCTGGCAATGGTTATACTGAGAACAATCGGCCTTTCAGAAGGCTAAACATGTGAGTTTTTGTAAAGATATTACAACCAGAACAGTGAATGAATTTCATCACTGTGAACAATATCTGGACTATGACATTCTCAGAAAATAAACCTGTGAGAAATCCTATATTGCCAAAAGCTGAAAACCTATCATTGACGGTATCATAGAACCAGCTTGTAATAACGCTACTCCACACAGATAGATCTTATGAAATATAACTGTGACACTGTACAATGGGCGAGTAACGTTTTTATCATCCCGAGTTCAATATCGAAATAAAAGGCGTATTATATTAATTATAAATATCTTTTTTTCTCTCAGACTACGTCTGACTACTTACTCATGACATTATTGGATGACAAGGGAAAAAAATAGGAAAAGGGATAAAGTTGGAAATCAGTGGTTATGAATTGTCCTTCTCATACAAGATTGGAGTGGGTAGACTTTCGGGTGGCGTTGGTCTGTCGGGGTACACCAGGAATGAGGTACACACATTGTACCCATATGTGGAAAATCGATCCCGGGTGTTTGACGTGACATGCGAACGCTTTAACCACTAGACTACCCCACCGATAGACAGCACCAGATGTATAAGATGTATAGACTGTAACGGTGTTCAGGTGCCCAACACATGCAGCTATAACCATGTTATAGCCAGGGACTTACTACATGTATATATTCTTTTATTTCCCCCAAAGGAGAGTACAAGGACATGGCGAAAGATTATTTACATAGATTTACAGATAGATTTGGATGTTTTAAGCACTTTGCTATGCGCTACAGAAAATATAGGTGAAGATAGAAAAGTCTTTTATGACACTCCTGGCGTATAGTTGGCTGGTTCCTGCATCGGTCTGCATTGGTGGGTTGCACGACAACAGGCATGCAACAATGTCTACATCTGGCTTCTCGTTAAGACATACGCTGATCTCAAGGGGCCCAACCCAACTGAGGCTGGTAGCTGGCTCACATTGACATACACCATGAGTCAGAAGGTCTGCACATACTCTGTCACCCCTGTGTCTCTCCCTGGTCTCCATGACGCACATTTTCTGATGATGGATACTGCTGCTCAGTGTAGTGTAGACAGATCTTCATTCATTCAACAAGTGCATTAATATCTAAAAGATAAAATCAACAGTCACAGAAGTTTCTGCACTGCGTCGACATAGGAAATTGTTCTCTGGATAGACATTATAATGAAATAGGGTGTACGAAAAATGTAATTTACATAATGGACTCTTGCAGTCCTTTAAACTGATTCACAGATTATCAGTTCATGACACAACCAGCTGTGACGCTTCACCACTATCTTCCGCCTGGACGCTGCGTCTGGTAACGTCGCTGGCAACTGCGGTTGCCTCCCGCAGGCTGGCAACGATGTTTGGCGGGTCACCCTGCATAGCAGGGAGGGGCAGGCCATATTGGTCATTCACCTCACCCCTTTCTGGACATTGTATCTGCAGACCATGGGACGTCATCTGTAATTGGCATACAGATATTTTATTTACGTCTCACTGATGTACATGTTTAAAAAAATAGATATACAGACATACGACTTGGTACAGTAAGAATATGATACAGGCCACTCATATTAAGTTATGAGAGACAATGAAAACATACAAGCAGGCATATATACATATATAAAGCGATGGTTTATCCATATAAGACATTATGTTTTCTACGTTATAGTATTAAAAAGAAGGCTTTGGCAGTAAGATACCACTAATGTTTTGTAGTCAATAACAGTGGCTTAACATTTGTAAAAAATCATCACATAAGGGGCACTGTAACAAAACATGCTCTTTTGTCTTCAATGAATTTATTACAGTTAAACCAAACTCTGTCATCAACATTGAAATTCATATATCTGTCCAATTCTATTCTTAAACGTGCAATACCACATCTAAATTTTGTTAAAGTGGAACGGTAACTATGCGTCATAGAAGTCCTGACAACTTTCACAGAATTAAAACTCTTTACAGTGAGTGAGTTAAAGTTTATAGTCACAGTGGCAGTACAAAACTCTGAACAAGATCTGTAGGTACGGAGCTTACTTCTACTATACACGTCATTTTCATTCCATAAACGTTCTTGCCATATTTTACCATACTGGTTTATTATGGAATCTTGCATATGTGTACGGATATATTTAGTATTTAAACGACTGGTGATATTTGAAATACGCTGCATATGTACGAGAGCTAAAACACCCCCCACCCCCCACCCCCAAATTTATTCCATTTTTTGTGATCAGCAGCAGGTGTTTCCGAGCATAATATGTCATATAAACGATCAGATATTTTTAAAACGAAACCTCTGTCTAACTATAGTGAGACATAGGAGGTATCCACCCTGTGGATAAAATATGTCAGCACAGTGTAAAACCAATCTGCGTGTTTTAACAAACACGTTAGGACATATAAAACATTAAACACGGTTACTGCGCTCGGTTCACTCCTTGGTGACAGGGACTTTCCGACCATAACATGTTGTTTAAACAATCAGACATATTGTACTTATGCCTCTCTTATGTGATATATTTTAATTATATTTTAGCGCTTTAGCGCTCTTAAAGACTTTTTATTGTAATTTAGTGTCTCATAGACAACGTACTGTGAATATGTGTATTTTTTAATCTGCTGAGAATGTACGTTGTGTGACACCTAAATAAAATATATTCTTCTTTCGTCTTCTTCTTTCTCTAAAACGACACCTCTGTCTAACTATGCAGAACTATTGTGGGTCACAGGAGAGATCCACCCTGTGTCCCCATTAATAGCAATATTCGGTGCATATTTACCCACGCCGAGGAAACATCTAACAGCTCTGTGATGAACTGCGTTGATTGTAGTCACATCACGATTACCCCACACAGAGGCACCGTAGCTGATCACAGACCATACCGTCGTGTCGTAGAGGAATAAGGATAAGTGTTAAAATGGATACCTCACATTGTCTTAAACCAAGAAATGAGTAGTCCTAAAACCCTGCTAGCAGATTTAGCAGCAGCCTTTTCCATAAGGTTATAATCACAAGTGATTATGCTTAATAAATCTAAATCTCAAAACTGTTTGATAAAATATGAATATCAAAATGAAGAGTAGCTAGTAGTGAAAGACACCAACCACTGAGACTCATACTGGAACTGAAATACATTCTATTAGACTACATTAATGCATATCACAAAGCCGTTTAATCAACTCTGAATATTATGATAGACAAAACACCTGTTTAAAGTCCGGAAACCTATTTGTCCACAAGCCCACTTAGGCCAGTGTCCTCACATACACATGCACACGTCCGTCCGTTCTTCCATCCATCCTTCACCCCTCCTTCAGTTTAAAAGAATACTTTATACCACATCTGTAATTTAATAACAGGTTAGTCAAATCATCTAAAATCTTGTTCTAATATTCAGGAATGTAATTTAACAGTACAACTAAACAATGCATTCAAATTAGATTACCTTAAAACAACGGAAAGTTTCTTCAATTGTATGCAAGCAGGTAATTTTGAAGTTTGAAAATAGCTAATCCCTCTGACGGAATGCAAACCCCAGTACGCGTATTTTCAAAAGACCTATTTCGCGCGGAAAAAGTCACGTGGCCAATACGGTCGACGCTTGTTATCGTACCGCATAGGGGATTTCCGTCACTTATTTATTTTTAGTATAGGTCGGCAAGAGCAGATTTCTACTGCTGGACTTGGATTGCCTCCCTTTGGAGCTTGACACAGATGAATGTGCTGATCAAATACTTTCAAATCTCAAATTTATTAATTTCTCCCTTGCGCAATTGTTTGCTAACGTCTTGTGGAACATCATACATGATCGATCTAGCAACGTATAGAGCCAGGATCGGCGAGTTTGTACATCCACCCGGGTCACGACAGGTGAGCGTTTTCCCGGACAGTGACTACACTCCGCGTTCATCCACCTCAGACACTCCGTTACGGCTATCTGTGTTCTCTATACTCATTACTGTGCATCTGCTGTTGTCAGTATTTGTCTTGGCCAATGCTAATATTGGAAAGATTTCCACCCGTAACCCTGTTTTATTATCATTCTATGCCTAAGCCTATCCTAACCCTAACCCTAAACCTAACATAATGCTGAATCTAAACCCTAAACCTAAACCCTAACCCCTTGAAATAATCATAATAATTAGAAAACTTATCAAGCGGGAGTTACGGGAGGAACTCTTACCCTAATATGATTTTTGAAAATCTACATTACTTTGATCGACTTATTCCTAGCGAACATGACTGTGTTTTGATCAGTGACGTCACACTCCATTACCCCGTGTTCACTTAAACGTCTCATTGTTTGAGTATGAAAGTTCTGTTCATCGTATCCCACTACAAATCTTGCTCTCATACGATGCTGAGACTAATTCAGGGCCTGCAGTGACAATGAGAGACATGAACGCTGTTACATCTGAAATAAAAGCTGATATTCTGTCCGAAATTAGAGAATTCAGACAAAGTATGGTCGCAGAGATGAGTGACATTAAAACTAAACTCTCGAACCTAAGTACCACGTGTACGTCTCTCGAAACATCTATCACCGACATACGCAAGGACATAGAGAACATCAGTGACGAGCAGGCTACAATGTACTGCGACATCGACCCATTTAGCCAGAAAGTTGACGATATTGATTCTCGTATTGTGAAACAAGATGCCGCTATCGATAAGCTCGAAGCCTTCAGCCGCCGAGATAACATTGTCTTTATGGACTTGCAGAATGACAAGACGAATCATTTGATAAATGTAAGGATACGGTGGATTCAGTGCTTAACAACTTCAGCGTCTGTGTCTGCGTCTTCGCCTACACCTGTACAGGAGTCACCGCATCGACTTGGAGACCTACACACACACTTCTGTCGCCGGCAGATCGTCTGCTGACCATAACATCCCTATGGATGGGAGCTAGGGAGCCGGCCCATCCCAGAACGACGATCTACAGTATACATAAGGTGTACTACGTTCCAGTTTCAGTATTAACTTTAAATTCGTAACGTGAAATATAGAGGGTGTTCTGTCACATGTCGATAACCCAGATTTGATTGCTTATATACATAACTTTGAGTTCAGTTGTATGGTGGAAACATTTCTCGATAATTTAACTGCAATAACCCAGTTTTTCTGCTTACGACATGTACATATATAACCAAAGCACATAGAAAAGCAAAGGCTGGAAGATTATCCGGAAGAGTGATCATTTTGTTGAAAAACACTCACGCTAGGAAATGCCAACACATTCCTGTAGATATAGACAAAGTTGTCTGCATCAAGCTAGATAAAAGTACAGTTGGCAACAATAAAGATGTCCCTGTATTTGCAACATATGGTCCACCTATTGGCTCAACGTTTTACGTTGCAGCCGACGGCAAAACCGCTATCGAGAACCAGTGGCGGATAGACCACTCGGACCACGGATGTGACGTCATCATTTGCGGAGATTTGAACGCTCGTGTAGCGTGGGCGTAACAACCCACCACAGACACTCGACCATCACGGTCTAGACGAAGCTGCGTTCCCAGAGGAAGTATCTGTGCCAGTAAATGACAGACAAACATGCGACAGTTCTGTAAACACCTTTGGACGCAAACTGATTGACTTACGCTTGTCTCATAGTTTGTATATTTTTAACGGTAGAACCCCCAGTGACAATACAGGAGAGTTTACTTATATATCGCAACAAGGTTGTAGTGTAGTTGACTACTTTATTGGTACTGCTGATTTATTCTATATGCATCATGATGTTATATGCCTTGGATTCTTTGTGTTGATTCCGTAGCAGCTCCTTTCCATTAACTCGCAGGTGATATATCTCTGAAGCCCATATCACAAAACGACGGCAGCTTTACTTACAAGTGGAATGACAATATGGCTTCGGATATTTTCATTTCCCTTAGTAATTCATGTCCTTCATTAAGATATGATTGATGGAGTTGCCGATAACCTCAATAAGGGTTTAGATATGTTCGTGAACGCTGTTCTTTCCGCATCTGATTGTATGAAGAAATCCTTTAAAAGTGGGTCAGTTGGTATTAATAGAGGATTTTATAATCTGAAATGTAAAAAGGCTAAGCAAGAAGCGCCACAGCATTTGAGACGTTTTAGACGTCATAAATCATGCGAAAGTAAACGTGCCTACTGCAAGATGAGAAACAAATATAAGAATGTTTGTCGAATAACAAAGTATGATTACCAGAACAGAATACCGTTAATAATTCCTCTAGATTTTGGAAGGCGTTGAGGAATATTTTTAGACGTGTCATCAAAAGCTCTAACATTCTACTTGATAGCTGGTTGGATCATCTTAAGAATTTATTCCAAAGCATAGATTTACCGGCCACTAATAATGATACATCCGTCCAAGAAGATAAACTACTTGAAGATCTTGATTTAGATATTCTTGAATCCCCTATAACTGATTCAGAAATTCATGTTGCAATCCAGCATTTAAAGCATGGTAAATCCCCTGGAAATGATCATATCATAACTGAAATGTTAAAGTGTTCAGAAGCGGTCATTATCCCGTTATTGAGCAAGTTAACAAGTTGTTCACCGATTTTCGGACCAGTGGTCAAAGGCAATTATCATCCCTCTTCATAAAGTGGGTAATAAAGATAATCCCGACAATTATAGAGGAATATCCATACTTTGCACTTTGAGTAAAATATGTACATGTATACTTAACGCCAGATTGACAAATTGGGCTACTCTAAGAGACAAATTTACAGAAACCCAGGCTGGCTTTAGAAACGGATATTCAGCAGCAGATCACATTTTCTCGCTTTATGCTACCATTAAAAAAACTTTACTAAAGAAGAAAAAGAAGTTATATGCCGCCTTTGTTGACTTCCGAAAGGCCTTCGTTCGACCGTAAAAAAACTATGGGAATGTCTTTATGCAACTGGTTTAAGTGGAAAGATGCTTAGAGAAGTGAAAAGTATTTATAGCTCTGTTAAAGCCTATCTAAAAAGTAATGATACTGTAACCGATTATTTTGAATGTCCAATAGGATTTTGACAGGGATGCACTCTAAGTCCGCTCTTCTTTTCGTTCTTTGTAAATGAATTGTCACAGAAAAAACAAAACACGGAAAATTTGGTGTGCAAATATTTCCAGATATGCTAGAATTTTTTTTTTTTTTTTTTTTTTTAATGAAGATGTGGTTTTAGTTTCTGATGTTATATCGGGTTTAGAAAGACAATTAGCAATTCTAGAATCATATCCAAACACGTCGGGATTGACAGTTAATCTAGAGAAAACTCAAATTGTTGTTTTTACAGTACAAGCAGAAATTATTGAGAATCTAAAGATCACAATTTTTAATTTTTTTTTACTCATTGCTCATGTATTAAATGTGAATATTAGCAGAACCTAACTCCAGATTCAAAGACAGGTGAACAGTTAGTATTTTGTCAAGTCACCATGGGCAGCAATGCAGGCTTCAATGCAGCGGGGCATAATACTGATCAAAGAAGTTAGAAAGTCGTGGTCCATGCTGTCCCAATATCGGGCCATCCCTTCTTTCATTTCTGCAATATTTGTCAAATTTTTCTTATTAACACTTTCCTTCGTAAGTCCCCAAACATTTTCTATTGGATTTAGGTCAGGGCTAGAGCTTGGCCAATCTAATAATGTCATACTTTGGGTCCGAAACCAGGCCTGTGAATGCTTTGAACGATGTTTTGGGTCATTGTCATGCTTGAAAATCTAAAAATATTTCCATAGAACACGTGAGCAGATGGTAGTAAATGTCCCTCGAGAATATCTGTGTACCGTTCACTGTTCATATTCCCTTCAAATACAGAGAGGCGCGTTTCCCCTAACACAGATATGCCACCCCACGCGTTAAATTTCGGACTATACTTTGGGCGCTGATACAAAGCTGTTTCAGTTTGTTTGGTCCAGAATTTCAATGTATTAGGAAACAGCCACACAGAACTTTCATCTGAAAACATCACATTGTCCCAGTTAAAATTTCTATGCTGTAAGCACCAGTTCAACCTTCGCTCCTTTTGTTCTGTCAACCCATTGCATGCAGCTCAGTTCTAATTGTCTCCTTACAGACAGCCACAGTTCCTCTATCAATCATACCCTGCCTTAAGTTTTCTAAACTCCTTCGATTGTTTTTAGAAACAAGAATACCAAGCCGCCTCCTGTCACCAACAGTCAATTTTCTGGGCCTACCTGCGCCCCCCTGGTGCTCAATGCCATACCCGTGTGCAATATTTTTCAAAACACGATAAACAGTGGACAAAAGGGATGCCTGTTGTACTTGAAATCACTTTAGCTGATCTGATGTCCTTGTTATAATACTCTAAAATCAACTTCCTCTTCTCTAAATCATCCATACTGAGGATCACTGAAAATGTCGTCTGCTAGCAAGTAAACAAAGGGGGATAACTCTTCACAAACTAATGAAAAGGGATTAACGGAGTTGTCTCTCTTGAATGAAACCAAGCACTTGGTATCTGGTCAAGGTTGTTTATACTAGAAATCCAATTAAACATATTCATAAAATTCTCAATAATTTCTGATCATACTATAGAACAGGTGGACCCTTAGCGAGAAATGAGAAAAGGTTTTATAAAGGTGAACGTGTCTTAACAGTTGATTCATATAGATATCTAGGTATTCCTTTTTCATCTTCTTGTAAATTCAATAAATGTATATTAGATTTATTATCTCGGTGTAAAAAGGGCACTTCTAGAAGTACTACACCACCTATATAAATTGGATAAAGTTGACTATTCTGTATTTTTCAAAATATTTGATGCTCAAATTCAACCAATCCCTTTGTATGATGCCGAAGTATGGGGTATTAATAAATTTTGTAAGATTGAATATGTACATTTAACTGCATGTAAGAAGTTCTTAAATGTTGGTCCCCAAACACCAAATGTAGTTGTTTATGGTGAATGTGGACGTTACCCAATGTATATAAAAGCACAACGGCGTTTCATAAAATACTGCCTTAAACTTGTAAATATGAATTTTAAAACACCTTATGATATGCTCATGTATTACGATAATTTTGGTTGTGATAACTATGTTATCATAATTTCTTGCTTTCATACGGATTTGATCATGTTTGGTTATTTCAAGGTGTTGGTAATGAATCCCAGTTTCTCCAAATGTATAAACAAGTTGCAGTTGACATGTATATACAGTCACTGAATAGTACAATTGAACAAAGTTCAAGGTATATGCTGTACAGACAATTTAAAAGCCTGTTAGGGCCAAATAATATTTAACTATTTTTAACAAATAAAACAACACAGAAATATTCTTACTAGGATCAGAGCGGGTATTTTAAAATCAAAGGTTAATGAGGGGCGGTCGTTGGGAGTTGATTTTAATCAACGTATTTGCCTCACATATAATAAAGGACTAGAAGATGAATTTCACTTTATACTTATATGTGAATGATATAACAATTTAAGAAACTGCTGTTTACCAAATATGTACAACAACAATCCGTCTACCTTTAAATTTAATCAATTATTATCTGCTACATCAACTAAATAATCTTTGTAGATAGTTATGTTTGAGCCTTTAGCTACGATAGCGGCTGGTTAATGGATAATATATTTGTATTTCATCAGCCACTTATGGTAAATTAAGCGTGCTTATAGTGTACCTATTCAACATTCATCATTGTATAAAACAAGTTGTGAGTATATTGGCAAACTCTGCAGGAAAACCTGTTGCCTGCATATGGCCATGAAAGGGAAATGTTATTTGGCTCGTGTTTCTCTAATTATTTCAACCTATAGGTACGAGATATCTTATCTCATAAATGAGCAAAACGTGCTCAAAATATTTGAAATTGTGCGATTTCCAAACAATTTAAACAGTGATGAACAAAAAATGTACCTATTTCATTCTGTCCCTGATAAAACATGTCCATAATTGTGAGTAATCGCATTATCTTAATGTACTGATCCGTTTCTTATTCATTTAACAGTACTTTAAGACAACTGCAGTATTGGGTCTATTTATCAGATATTAGTATAATGTCGAAAACCTGCCCAAGAAATTAAAATCAAATATGATGAAGTAAAAGACGCACACAATGATTCCATGTAGATATGTCTAAATGTATTTCTTTAATATGGTATTAGAATTGGTCTTCAGCAAGCCATGCTTTTCGTAACAGGTGGATAACGGGATCGGTCGCATGTCATCGTCTGCAAATTGCGTAGATCAATGCTCATGCTGCAGGTCTATGAATTGTCTGGTCTAGACTCGATTATTTTCAGACTGCCGCCATATAGCGAGGATGTTGCTGAATGTGGCGTTAAACAGCCAAACCAAAACTATTTTACCTATGCATGTATATAAAAAACTGCTAAAACGTCCTGCATGTGTAGCGCACTAGTACACATGCACCATGATATATTACAAAGATATCTAACATCATTATAACAGTGAGGTATACAGAAATCGAATGTTCAGAGTAAAAGGACGTTTTTAATTGTTCGTGTGGGAATTTCAAACATCAGTTTTCAATAAGGAATCATGAAAGGCAATGTGCAATGAAATTATAATCACGATTTGTCCATCATAATCATTTTATCATATTCAAGGCAAAGCGCATGCAGACACTAAGTAAATTGTAATCATTTGATGCCTACAATACTGTTAATGGAGGAAGTGAAAAATAGTCTGAATGTTTTATCTATTTATAAGATCACAAATTTCACTGAGTTAGTACTCTGCAATATGTATTTAAACATAATAAAGGACTATTTGTATCTGACAAAAATGTAGGTTTTCACTTTGACAAATGTTCGCATGGACCCATTTGCACCCCATGTAAATATACATATGTATGCAAATAAAATACCCATGTGCAAATTGGTCCATGCGGACGCAATTTATGCGCCGTGAAAATTTGCACTAGGAGTAAATTTGCATCTGATTTGACTCGGTGTAAATATACTTTTACACATGTGCAAATTTGCATGGTAAGCAAACTTGTACCGTATTCTCCAGTAGAGGCGAGCAAATACAAAGTTACTGCAAGCTTTTTCTCTGATGAAATTGGGGACCTAACCCATCCATCTTGCGGTTGAAGGTAGACTTGCAACTGGTCATGGAGTATTTTAAACATTTTTCTGTGCATTCGGAAATTCTGGAT